TTCAAAATTTTTTTATGAACGAAATATTCGCATAATGAGTCATAAGAAAAGAGGGAAAGAGCGAAGGAAAATTTCTTTTCGACGATTCATTTTCATGAGCCGTACCATCTTAATTATATTTAATTGAGAGTTCATAAGACCAATCAGATGATGGCGAAATTTGTCCTCGAAAACGTATTACATAACGTAAGGTGTAGTCTAGAAGGGGTAACTAACTGAAAATTAGAAAAGAGGGCAGAAGTTGGCACGATATAATAAGTGTGAGAAAGTGACTAATCAATATAGTTGTGTAGAGTGGACAAAAACCAGTGGAAGACGATGAAGTGTTTCATAAAATCGGTATGAAACACAGTGTTATTACTAAGCAGTAGTAGAGTGACAAAATAAGGATGATGATAACAATAATAATAATAGTAAACTTACATAATAAAGGAAAATAAAATTATAGTGAGAACGTTACTCTGGCCATGGTAGGGCAAGGGAATGTATGGGGTGCTTTCGAATGCAGAATTCCGGTTTCAGATTCCGAATAGCTAATGATTAAGCTATTTACAGATGGCATATTCGAAGTCCTTTCATATGATATTGAGGGACTTTGTGTATCACTGTGAAGCATTCATGCGGGGTTGCACAATGTCCAGAGTTGATAAGGTGTTCAAGGATGCAGCTGCTAGTATTCTTCTCTTTTCGTCTGACTAGCCAAGCTGGACAGTGTTCCAGAATACGTTCAGGACTTGTCGTGCCGAATTCTGCCCCCTTTTCTGATTTTAAGTTAGTTACCCCTTCTAGACTACACCTTACGTTATGTAATACGTTTTCGAGGACAAATTTCGCCATCATCTGATTGGTCTTATGAACTCTCAATTAAATATAATTAAGATTGTACGGCTCATGAAAATGAATCGTCAAAAAGAAAGTTTTCTTCCCTGATGATGCGTTTTTTAATTTTTACTTAATTTGGAAGTTTCGCCAGCAGTGGTAATTAATTTTACGGAGTGGGGTTACTGGCTTCACGCCAAACCTTCCCTCTTTACTGAATTAGCGAGATTCGGGAATACCTCGGACAGGGATCGAACTTCGTACGGCATTTAAGGTTGGGGAGCATTCTATCTGTGAACCACCAATTCACCGTTGTTTACAATAGCGTTCGTTATTTGCAAATTACAAGGTTCGAGTTGATCATTCTTCACAACTTTCTTAAGAAGATCCAAATTATTCAGATCATATTATATATATATATATATATATATATCGCCTGAACATTTTAAATCATAAGCAACCGAATGGTATTGACTAAAAATTCAATGTATGCATTTTTAAATCAAAGGATACATCTTACTTCAGTAGTGGTTCCAAATGAAACTACCAAGTCAAGGGATAAAGGCATCACAGTCAGTGAAAATAGTTGCAGTGATGATCATAGAAATGAAGAGACAAGTTTACTATTGATACTTACAAATACAATTTTATAAACTTGGGAAATAAACCAGTGATAATGAAGTAAAACCATGAGAGTATTTATATATTTGTTTTGGTTTTACTCTTGTGTAGCCAAAAAGTAACTGCCTTGAAAATATTCAAAAAATAAAAAAATATATATATATAATAAGCTTACTTGATCGCCTATTATAGACGTGGATGTCTGAAAAATCTTCTTTCAGTGCCTCTTTGAGGCTAGAACAGTTTGATTTGTTAAATCATTCAGTGTTGATACAACCGTTTTACAATCGTTCTTTAGTGTAAGAACTATTAAAATATAATGGAAAGCTTATAAATCGTCATCTAAAAGAGTTAAATTAACCTATTTATACATTACTCATGCAATCATGGTTCGATTAAAGGTCATCAGTGTTCGCCCAGGCGATGGTAACCAGTTGCTTGAAGCCTTGAAATAAGCGTATAGCCTTAAGTACCATGTCATTTTACGTTAGTTTAAACTAGTATTCCACTGACATAACTGTCCTTAGAATAGTGAAGAGAGGAGAAATGCAAGACGCAAAATTCATCCTGTTTGGGACTAAGTCAGCTGAATGTACGTTCATTAGAATGAGTGGTGGTTTTGTTCTCAATGAAATTCGGATCTAGCAATTATCCTTTCAAACGTCAAAGTACTATTCACTAGACTATTGTGACACAAATGACACTGCTTGTGCAACGTTCATAACTTGAGTAGTGTTTTTTTTGTTCTCTAATCTTTAATATCTAATTAACAATATTTTATCATGAAACAACTAATATTGAATCTATTTTCTCAATTCTTCTGTTTCTTGTCAGTGTTTGAAGCCCGTTTTTGGGTTGAAGTTTCTAACTTATATTAAAAAAATTGCGGTCATTTTACGACTGGTTATCACAGTAGCATACTTACGCTTTATCTCACATCAAGTTTTGACGACAAAGTGTGATACTTTGTAACTATTTACTTTAATTTACTCCAAATGGTTTACCATTTTATTGTGGTTTCTCTTGCCACTTTGAACTGTTATAGGACAATAAACTGTTATGCGTTTTTATTGGCTCTTCGATTGTTACTGCTGTTCAATTTTGAAGGTGCTATAGCCGCAGATAACAAATAATACTGGGTTTATGATTGTTATTTTTATTTTTCCTTGGGTTTCGGCTGGTGCATGAGTCTTCAGCAACACATCTCCGTCTCAACCTTCTCTAGCTGGCCCCACAATTATTCATAAACTTTCATGTCCTCCCCATACGATCTGCTCCATATCACCCTCCTTGTTGAGGGCCTGGCGCGTGGTTTCACTCAACAGTCTCTTCAGCATATGTCCGATCCACCTCCATTCCCTTCTGTATATTTATTGGATTTGGATTCATTCTAGTGTTACTCCAACGCATGAAAATAAATACAACTAATCACATGAATACCATTGTCACACTGAAAAAAGATGCAGAAAACTGAAGGAGAAGGCAAAGATTTATTGCGCTAGGAGAAATGCAGTATCACTAGAACTTGCAGCTGTTTATATCGCTATTTTCTATAACCAATGAATTACTAGTTTAAGATAATAAAAAACATGTTCTCACTGGATAACAGGCAATATTAAAAATATTCTGACATGACCTTTCATTTGTTTTAGAGTCAGATGTCTGGGTTGCATGTCACGTAAACATTAATTCATAATATATCTCTCCACTGTCATACTAGAAGGTCGAAAATATGGCCTGATTGATCTAATCATTATGTGTTTGTAAATGAGTTTATTAATGACTTACAAATTTGTGTTTACCCTCTCACTTTTCGTAATATTAAGTAGCAGAGGCTAAGAGTCAGTTGAGAAGTCTATCTTTTCTACGTAAGTTCTATGCCTGCTGTTTGGCTTATTGCCTTGACTTTCAGTCAGTGGGTCCCAGGCAAGAATCTTGCTCCCCATAATTCGACCTGGGTAAAGAACGAAGCAGCATCATCAGCCGTTATAAAATTTGTATGGTGCATATCTCGATAGACGACAAATACACTCCGAATAACTAAATTTGTCCACTGGAACTCATTATACCTAAATATTTGAAGGGTAAAGATAGCGGAACTTATCTTTTCATTTCAAAACTGTCTGTACATAGAAGTGAAAGATGCACATAAATTAATCACTTGATTTTCACTGACTTGTTTCGTAGTTCTTTACTGATGATTGAAGTTCATCGATCAAGGTCGTAATTTGCCACATTTCATTCCTTTTGAAATTCAGAACTAAAGACTTGTCTTCATTATAATAAAGGTTTTTGTATTTTCCAATGAATGAAAAACAAAACTATTTTTTTTTACTGACATTTCGCTATTTAATGCTAATAGCTTCATCAAAGTCTTGTCTGTTTAAAACCAGGGCTAGAATACTGTGTAACAGTGCAATTCAATAGTAATAGGAATATGGTCGTCGACTTCAAGCTCCCCTTGATGGTGTTAGATGTTTTCACTTCTTTGAGTTTCCAGTGGAACATAGGGGTTCAAGCTTCTGAGGTATGGAATTCTAGTAACTGGGGTTTTGTTTTTTACGTGGTAGAGTAACAGGCTTTCCACATAACCTTCACCTTTTCCCAGGTTTACTACTACCTACTAAGCGAGGTTTGGAAGTGCGTTGTCCAGGAATCGGGCTGAGGTCACTTGGGTGGTTGGCAAGGCTTCTACCACTGAACCACTGATGCACAATGATAATCGATAATATCCTTAAAATTCTCACTTCGTTCTTTTTAGTGTATTATTATGATTATTGCAATTATTGTTCCATTTTAGATAAGATTATTTGATATAACACAGTTATGATAGATTGTTAATAACTGAATGACGTATAGAGAACAACTCACTGTTTATAATCATACCTGTATATTGGAATGACTTACCTAACTTGCTATATATAGCTTTAATTCCTCATGTTTTTAATGTATTGTTCCTTTACGCATGAAAAGTATTGTGTCCCTTCCACGTGTTATATTTGGTGTTGACTCGATGATCAAAGGTTCACCAACTAACCTCACTCTTCACCTAACTATATTACTTTTTAATACTCTCTTGCCATATTCCAACGTGTCATGAGATATCATGCAAGTGAATGCTAACCAAGAGCCGAAGGTGTTTTGAGATTATTTAACTTAGTGGGGTCAAATATTTTAGACCTAGCTAATTCTCTGTCTTCTGATGAGCTAACTGACTACGATTTATTAGTTTGACCCATGTATCTGATAAATTATATTAGTTTGCCTTATTGGGTCTACCGTCATTAAGTTATTAAATACTGTACCAATAAGAATGTGAGTAAGTACTTCTGAAGAGCCCCGGAAAAGGACGAAACATCTGTCCAGTACTCCAAGGTTTTCCAGTGGTTCTCAAACTGATGTTACCTCATGATCAAACCTGTAACCAATCAAATCGCTGCAGACTGACACTTGATAATTTTTATCAAATAAACATAACTTATCTCGAATTATATACTAGCACAGTGCTTGAAATTCTATTCTTATATTTATTATTGTAATTATTTTATTTTTGTAAATAGGATTTCAAAGTTCTTCTTGGACACCATATTGCAACAGTATCCTTATTAGCCTTTTCGTATATTACAAATCATCATCGAATCGGTGCATTAATTCTTTTACTACATGATATCGCTGATTGTTGGATGGAGGTAAGTTGTTTAAGGCTATCCTTCAAATTATATTATGGATCAGTTTTAAATATGTATATAACTGGCTTCAAGATGGATTCCTTAAAGTTATAGTAGAAGTCGTGACGGCTGGGGTTCACCCAGTCATATGCGATGACCGGTACGCTGATGACAGTAACTCTAATGAATGAGATTTTAGTATTTATGAAGCTGAATGGAAAACATACTCATCTTGTAGCCTGAAGGCCATCAGTTCGACTCCTGGTAGGATCGAGGGTGTGTACCGCTGGAAAGTGCTACACTGATGTGGGATAGCTGTTTAGTGCTCCATAGTTTTTATTGGTCTTTTAACTGATGTCACTTGATGACTTAGCGGTATTTTGACCCTGAAATCCGTTATTTGAAGGTTATTTGTTTATATTGACCAGTTATATATATATATTACTCCTTTTATCTAACACTCTTCACCTAATCTCGTTACTGCTGACCATATTATACCACCCATAAGAAGAGATAGAAAGCAAACAACTGTGATCAGAATCAGATGAAGTCCACATATCTTCCACTCTCAAAGATCCTGTATAATTGGTGTGTCATATTAACCTGAGATGAAATCAGCATTACTACTGTGACCAATTCAGTTGTCTGAAAGTTTAACAGTCAAACTATGAATTTAATCGTTATTGATCGTCATTAACATAAAAAGAAAAATAGCTGCAGTCTCGATCGTGTAACCCAGTAAGATACTAAAATATTTTAGCTTACTACATAGTAAGGTATTTCTAGAAGTGTACGGTGGTACTCAGATGGAGAGGTCACTAATGTGGAGATGGATTAAAACACTGCATACAGGTTGTTTAGAAGGAACTAATAACAGGAAATCACCTTCAGTTATAGTTTACGAAATCTACAAGTTAACAGCTATTGTTTATAAATGTTTGTGTCACATACAATTACTCCTCTGAGCATTAAGTACTTGTGAAGTCACCTAACCTGATAAGAACGTGTTGGCGATCGAAAATTATAGTACTATGCTTGCTGGACAGTTTCATGTAATCTGTCATCAGAATAATGTTTTAGGAATTTATGTTGCATTTTCATCATAAAATCATCGCTATAAAACAAATAAATCAATTATAATGTGACTAATAGAATTCAGTCTGCATCAAAACACACTAGGGAATAGACATACAACATTGGTTACACCTTAGTGACCAGTCAATATATCCGTCTTAGGTATACAGGAGGTCACTTAGGAACTTGAATAGGTCAGTGCTAACGTCTCTGAATGTAGCCCCGGGTGACCTGTGTTTGAATCTCAGAGGGGACGTAAGGTAGGGGATTCCTGTAGATTGTCTCCAACCATTTTGCCTGTTCTTGGTTTCTCCCAATCAAAAAAGTTATTTTGCTTAATTGAACAGTAGGATAAACTTAGTTATTTCGTTATACAAAAAATAGCCTTCTTCGAATTAATTCAGATGACATTATTATCTTGAAAATTAAGTTCGGAGAAGTATTTTATTAACTTTAAACATCCGGCTTTTAACAAATTGATCTGGTGGAGTCCTGCTCCATCTACTTCAACTAGAGGACTAATGACCCTTACATGGTAAGTTTATGGCTCACAGTCTGCTATCTGTTCAGGGTAACTGAATTCAACTGAAAACACGTGTTCACTTTCTGATGTTAGAATAATTACAGAATTCCAAATATCTGATTTAACGAGTGGGGAATATTCATAGATAGCAAATTTGCGCTTACATTTAAGGATTTTTGACACAGATCAAAGTAGAGAGTTGTACAGAACTTCAAAATGTTAGGACTAAATAAAAGTTACTGAGAAAGTTTAAAATTTCAATAGTATTAAGCATGTCTGCATCCCTATGACGAGATACTGTAGGCATTCCTGTTCACTTACCTACATCATCAACTGTATAGAATGGTTCCAGTGCCTTTATCTGAAGAGCTGCACTTTTCTTTTGATCTAACCTTACTGAGGTTTGGAACCCACAACACTTTTGTTAGCCACAGTATTCAGAGGGATACTCAATCTTATCAAGTGATGATTAAAAGAAGATGCACACAAGTCAGAAGGAGCTTGAGATCACTGTAGAATAATAAACTAAACAAATCCTTTCTGCACATATATTTTGAGGTTGCTTTGAAGAATCACTAATGCCTCCGCCATACACAAATGTGGAAAACTGACACACCTTGCACCGGTCAACTTAAACTTTTAAATTATTTTAAGAGAAGATGCTGGTAGATCTACTTGATCTGAGTGCATCAGGCACTCGAAAGTTGTGTTGGTAACTGGTTTTCATTACCAACTTGACAAGTATGCAGGATGGTATTCTCAGATGGGCTTGGAAAATGTTTGCTTTTTAAGGTTAATATAACTAGCTACACAGGGGAAATTGAATTTATAACTATACAGTTAGGTGATCCAAGGAAGCGGTTCATTTTTCACACAATCGGTGATCATTTGCCGACTGTTTTGAATGAGGTCTTGACTTTTTAACAAAATCACAGGTAAAGACGCTTCTAATTCTTGAAGATGAGGAATAAATCAGATTTCTGTTCCTTCTCTAAGGGACCTATCTGTGAAAATTCATGTACAGACCATTCTATATCGGCTTGTTGTAGGACTGACTACTGAAGAGTACCACCAAACCTTCTTTTCAATAAAATATTCTAAAAAGAAATTTCACTGCTGATCTTGGATTCTGATGTTAACTAGATGATATGATGGCATTATTGAACTCCTTCATTCTAGCTCTGATATCGGCATCGTTGTTACATATGATGAATGTGTCATCCATGTATATCTTGTTCATCTCATTACAAATCTCAATAATGGGTCTTAATACGTTATTTTCTTGATAAGCCAGGAATCAGTCTGCAAGTAGAGGACTTGGTGTTACCCCAGTTATCCTTGAACTTGTCCAGGTGTTTTATCGAACCCATAATCCCCACTGTTTGCTTCTATTAGACGGAAAAGATTATTTTATTTTTATTTTATTCCTTTACTTTCCTAGGGCTTCAAGCTAGAGGCTTGAAGTTTAGCTGGCAGTGGTGTTTATTTTTTACGGGATGGGGTTGCTAGCCTCATGCCTAACCTTCTCTCTTTACCAGTCTTGTTACTGGCTTAGCGAGGTAAGAGGGTGCGTCGGCCGGGAGTCGAATTCCGGACCACATGAGGCGTGGTTGGTGAGCATTCTATCTCTGTGCCACTGACTCATGGAGAGGTTATAGAAATTATACAATCTACAGATAAAATCTTAAGCTTTTATCAGGTAAAATATTACAAGTACAAACAGAAGTGAATTACTGCTCACCATACTGGCTAAAATACTTAGGAAATTCACCAGATTACCTACAGAATTATGAAGATTAACTAATTCTAAGTGTTGATACATTTTAAAGTTATCATTATGATTATTATTTGATTACAGGCAGCTAAATTATGCAAATATGTTAAGAAACATGCAGCCTCTGAAGTGTTATTCACTATTTTTGTATTTGTATGGATTGTAACAAGATTAACTTATTTCCCACTATGGTAAGTATTCAGTTTTCTGAGTTTGAAATATTTCCATTTTATGAATTATAAAAAAATATCAGTCTGAAAGAAGAATATCTCTTTCAGTGAATCTCTTTAAGTTCTTACAGTTATAAATACACTAATAGCCAGTTATGCGGATATATGATACAACGTTGAAATGATGCCTTAATTTTCCTTCTCCACTTTGTATGAGCGTATTATGACCAGCATTACTAGTATTGCCTCGCATTTCATCATCCTTTGCATCTGCATTCAGGCCAGCCTATTTGTCATAGAAATATTCTTCTCAAGTTTGGTTTACAACCATTTGATTGATTCCAATTTTTACCATTAATTAACTCCTTAGTCCTTCTCTATGTGCACTGTCCTCACCCACGAAGGAGTGCTCAGAGTTTGTACAAATTAGAACGCGATTCACTGCTGAGAAGTTAGATTGGTATGTCGCTTCTTACTTATATTCATTATTCCTAATTTATTGCAATTATTCAGGTGGTCAATTCTAGTTTGGAATGGATACTTATTTCCCAGTGTCCTCCGTCTATTAGAAGTGAAATGATATAAATAAGGTAAAACGTAAAAGCCCATTTGTTCGGTGGTAGATTGGAGTAAAACCTAAGGGTGGGAATTTCGTCCAACCTGGGACTCGTCAGTTGGATATACGTAAACCCTACTGAGTGGTGTTTTTCTCACTGAGACTTGAACTCAGGATCCATTTCATTGTTAGTTAACACCAAAGAAATAAATTTCTTAAAGACTAACTATCTAAAGTAGTCTTTAGTTGGTGAACTGTTAATTAGTGCATTGCATGGTGATCTAATGGGTAGTTGGGTAGCTAGTGTGATAATAAACAATCAGTAGAACATCATTCGTCCAAATGACAGCTGGGCTATAATGAATTGAGAAACTTATTAACAGCCACGCTTTATGGCTTACTTAGATGGTAGAGAGCCGGAGTATTAGGCCGCTGGTTTGTATGCTGTAGTGATTCAGATTTTCATTTCACCTTCAACCAGTACCTAAGATTTTAAGGAAATTCGTCCGATTGGTCTTTGTTAACCAGAATGAGGTAGCTCAACAATCTGGTTCAGAAATATCAACAGGAGATTAAAAGTACAGATAAATAAGGCTAAGAATAGTAAAAATTTAAGTAGTAATAGTAGTTTGATGACAGGTTTTAAAGAATGATGCTTTTAATCAATTTTTAAAAGTCACTATATTTCATAGATAAGAAATATCTTTGGTTATTAGCATTTAATGTTTCTGAATAATTTTTATGTAATAAAAAAATACTTTATGCTATCATTGTTGAAATGTTCGTTAGAAGTGAGTAATCTTCAACATTCTCAAATAGTATGATTGCTACGTTAATTAGTAAATCTATAGAGTAGTCATTGTAGAAGCTTCAAAATAATTTTCGTTGCCTAAACAGACACATTAATTGAAAATGCAGTCTGTGATCAAAATTAAAAAGTTTATGAATAACAACACTGCAATGTATTGGCATTGAAAGTTGACAGAATGTAAAAGAAGTCACCATCTTGAAATCCTGAATACATAGAGTGATTATGTAATTACTATTCATGTTCATCCCTTGCTTTCCTAGTGGAACATACATCGTGGGTGGTATGCCTTCATTCTATTCTGTTTTCTACTGTCATCTTCTGTAGCGACCTAAAAAAACCAAGTGTTGTAGTGTGAACTCTAAAAACTAACCTTCCCGTTCTACGGTATAGCTAACCAAAAATTTCTTGACCGACACAGTCACAAAGTGCTCCAAGGACATCAAAAGGACAGTTATTTCCAATAAAAATCCGTGATGCTAATAATAACATGTCAAAAACTCAAAATTACGTCAACAATTCCATTAGGCAGCTATAAAGATCAGATAATTCTCAAGTACAAAACAAGCAGTGGGGAATAAAGTCAGTTAACCAAAAATCAACTTTAGGAAGCCTAATGATTGCAGTTAGTTGAAGTATCCAAATTAGTAGGATTATCGTAAATAGGTCTTTCTGGAGGGATTTTCCTTCAGCTGAATCTAAGACTGCTCAAAAAGTCTTTATTTCCTCTTCATATGATCTTCTCTATGTCACTCTCGGATGCTGGAATCATCGCTCCTTATTCGAGTTCCACTTGGAGACCTAGCGTGTAGTCTCACTTGAACGTCTTTCATTTTACTTATTCATATTTGGCTGGTTGGCTGCCGGAGCTTTTTGTTGCCTATCCTTTCTTATCTACAGTCTGATCTTTAGTACTAGAAGATAAGGACAGCTGTTGATGAAAGTTTTCAGCTTTTTGGGAATTCGTTTAGTGACTCTCTAAGTCTCTGAACCCAAATAGAATTACTAACTGACTTGACATCAGTGTTTAAAATTTTGATCTTATTACATAGAACTATTAGTTCAGCACTTTATACACAGATAATTGATTGTGATTCTAAGTTTAAACTTTCAGTTATAATTTTATTGACAGTAAAAGTGTTTGTATATTGAATAAACGCCAAACACTTGATCTTTATTCTCTCATTAATTTATGTAGTTTTGAGTAGTTTAGTCAGATATCTATTGACTTATTTCATTGAAGCATTGTAGAACATAATATTTGTTTTAAGAAACTATTAAAAGCGCGCGTAAACTAACTGTCTTATCGATCCACTCTTTTCACTTTCAATAATTAAAACAACCATTTTGCACAGTTTCTAATTTATAAATTATTTTTCATTTTTCATTATCTTTTGAAGACTATTCTCTCATTGTCTTTGGAATCTTTTAATTTTTGTAATGTTCTATTTCTTGGATAATGATTATTACAGTAGACATTAGATTACGAGTATACCATACTGAAAATTCGAAAGACTTTAGAATCATGACTCGGTGGGCTGTTTTTCATTGGGACCAATGACGAAGTTGCTGGTGTATACTACTTATGCATTTCATTGTTGGAACTAAACAACTTTTCATTTCTTCTAGGTTTCGAAGAGGTTCTCTAATTATTTTCAACTCTCTAATAATATTGTTTCCTTCCTTTTGATCTGAACCTTTCCGTATTATCCTGGAGGAGATTGGTTCCCACTGCATAAGTGCTTTGGCTGCTGAAAGCGACATCATGATAACCGCCTCCACAGCATGCCCATGGTTGTCATCTGGGTAACCAGAGTAGATTATTGAATCTTCAATTAAAATTTTGGAGAGTCCACATTCATTCCACCTGCTCTTATAGATCACTATCACTTCTATACCATATCGTCTCATTTCTTTGGCTACCTAGGCAGTCTTCCAAGCTTCCTACATTGTACTGTACGTCTCGGTGCTAATTCTCGTTCTCATCAAGCCAGACGGTTTCAGTATCAATGAGGGATTCAGTCTTTATTTTTCGGAGGATTTCGAACCAACAATACAACGGAGACTCATCAGCGGAAACGCTGGGAAGCCAATTGTCGCGCTCACTGAAGAAAACCTACCTGGCGGTTGAACTTCGAATAACTTTCTCTACGAAACCAGGAACGCGAAGGATAAGCTACCACTGCTGGACTCATCAGTGTGCATATACGAATTCACCTGCTCGAGTGGAGCTAGGTATGTCTGCCGTACTCAGCGTATCATCGAACACTTACCCTCTTGGTTTTATAAAGGAGAAAAAAATCCTTCCTCCACAGCTCTATCCTGGAACACCTGATCGAATCTGGAGAACAAGCTCACTCAAAAATCAACGTCAAAGTTATTTACAGAATATGTGGGAATCTCGCTAAGAGAGTGCGAATCAAACTTCTTCAAGCCACAGAAGCAATGGCAATGGCATTTCACATGTTGAATCCTGAACTCTGCATACAAAAGAAGTTTGGTCAGTCAATAGATCTACAGTAGACCTCATCTGTCGCAACACCAAATAGATAATTTTCGTTTTTTTGTTTATTAATTGTATTATTTTGTTCCTAACCTCCTATCAAATCTCTACCGCTTAATACCGCTGTTATTAACTTGATTGTCGTTCAGTTTTAGTTGAATTGTACTCAACCCCGTCAATTATATTACGTCACTCAACTTACTTATTTAATTTTATTTCAGTTTCTACCCGATTAACGCTTTCTACATTACGTAATTTTTTATCTAAAATTTACAATTCTAATGGCATATCTTTGAAAATATTCCTTTTGTTGCTAAGAAAATTTACTACATATATGTGATTGTACAGCTTGGGAATGAAATCTCTGAATATAGTTGTTCTGTGCTGAATTGCTTCTTTTATATGTTTCAATGATGATTTTCAGTTTGCTTATAGTGATTCAATGTGCGTCGGTGACACAGCTGTTAGGACGCTCGCCTACCATGCACATGGTCCAGAGTTCGATCATCAACCGATGCGCACCTGACATCAATGGTGGGCCAGCTAAATTTGTGCTACTGATATCACATGCTGAAAATTCCATACGTGTACAAAAATACTGAGTGGAATCAAGCGATAACAAAATTAAAATAAAATAAATGTATCCCCTTCTGTGATAAACGTACTTCTTTTGTTTTTGTAGGGTGATATGGACAACATATAAATTTGGTATTGTTGAGCATGGACCATATCCAGCTTCTTGTATTATGGTTGGATTTCTGTTAGTCTTACAAGCTCTACATATTTACTGGTTTTGTTTAATTGTGAAGGTTGCATTCCAATTGAAAACACAAGGATGTGTAAGTTAGACTACTTTTATTTGGTACTAAGTTAATGTATTGTTCCATTTATTATTGTTCGTGATAATTGCGTCGAACGTCTAGTTCGGAAATAAATCAATCAAAAACTCACTTATTATAACACTGATTAGCAGTTAGACTGATAAACAACTATTCTCTTTTTATACGCCTATCCTTTTGAGCTAGAATGATGTATTACTTACATATTTTCTCAGTGTGTGATCTCCACTTCGTAGCTGACTGGAGTGGAGTATCAACTAAAGATTGTATTTAACGTTGGTTGCAGAAACCTGATATTCATGTCATAGTCGTAGCTGTAACAGCTAAATATATTAAGCAAAGAAAAGGTATTAGTATTGTAACAACAGAAGACAAGGGTCAGGCAACAGATCGTTTATTAAGGAAAATCAACACATATTTATAGATTTTAATGTACGTTATTGTAGATTATTGTTAGTAGAAAATACAGTCTTTTGATTAGTTGTTTCTCACAAAAAGTTAACCTTGCATCTCTTTGTGGCTGTGTCAGATCATCCATATGCTAACTGTACTCGCCTACTCAAAGCCTTTGTTCTCATTTTCTCTCCACCAATATTGGGAACATAAACATTGATGTCAATTACTGTCTACCAACTTTGGCTAGCAGCCAGCTCTCACCACAGTATGACTTATGAAGCTTTCAGGATCGTCATATTCATAATAATTATAATAATACATTGTTTGTTGCCAAGAAAGTACATTGCACTAATCAAGGCACTCTACTCAAACTCACGTAGCCGTGTAAGGGCTTATGGGGAATTGTCATCTGAATTGATAACAACCAGTGGTGTCTGTCAAGGATGTTCACTTTCCCCTTTTCTGTTTAACTTCATCAAAGATATGCTAATGGAAGTATCCTTAACTGAACTTAACGACTTAGGAATCGACTTGTTACCAGGGAATAGTCTTATGGGCTTAGAATATGCAGATGACATAGTCCTGTTAGGGGAGGATGCTGACAAAATGCAGAGTCTTCCGAACACCTTGAGCAGCAATCTTCGTATGTTTGGCATGCGATTCGCCCCTGTAAAATGTAAGATGCTGCAACAGGACTTGACTACGTCAATTCCTAGCTTAGTGATAGGGAGTGAAGTGATAGAACATGTTGACCACTTCACCTATTTGGGAAGTTGTATCAGCACCAACGGACTGATTGACGACGAAATCTCATCACGGATCCAAAAGGCTCGAACTACTTTCGCTAACTTATACCGTCTCTGGCGTAGGCGTGACATCCAAGTATCAACCAAGGGACGTGTGTACTGCTCAGCAGTTCGCTCCGTCCTTCTCTATGGCTCTGAAACATGGCCAATACGAGTTGAAGACATGAAAAGGTTGTCTGTTTTTGATCATAGATGTTTACGATCTCTTTCTCACGTTAGGTGGTATAATAAGGTGGTAAGTAATGTTGACGTTAGGCGTGGTGTTGGGCAAAGAGGGAAAATCAATCGAAGAGGCTATAAAGTTACATAGATTGAGATGGCTAGGTCACGTGCTGCGCATGCCTAACCATCACCTCCCCCGACGGGCATTACTAGCTGATATAGGTGCAGGTTGGAAAAGAGTAAGTGGTGGCCAAACAAAAACATGGCATCAATCCATGAAATCCCTGACAGTTAAACTGAGTCAGGTAGGGAGATGCAGACTTCCGGGTTGGGGCCCTCGGGACTCTAAGAATCAATGGCTGGAGACAATAGGTGACATGGCTCAAAATCGTTGTCAATGGCTTACGCAGATGTATTCAGTCTCTGTAATCTTTCATATTCCTTTCTACCATTACTCATTCTGTTTCACTCTTATAATTGTCAAAACTCTATTGATTCTCTTCACTCATTTTCTTGTCTACGTTTGTGTGCTATTTGGAACGTGGCAACTCGAACTGCTGCACTTCGGTGCCAGGTTCTATGTTGAATCCAGCCAGCCAGCCATATTATTCTACCCAAAGCATGCTTCAATACTCTGCAGTTTTTCCTTCATCATTCCCTCATAAAGGTTGGAACGTGTTTGAAAACGTTCATAAGTGTATATTGCAATTCATGGGTGTAACTGAATGATTAATAATAAAAATAATCCACTTTATTCGAAAAACAGTACTTATAATACAGAATGGAATTCTCAGCATTTGTCACAATATTGCGTCTGATTTACTCAAAATATAAATAAAATTAATCACAGAAATTTGTCTACATTTACGGTATAAAGTCAAAGATATTTGAAGTACAAAATGAGAATAATGAATATAATAATAATAATAGTAATAATAATAATGGGTTTGTTTCAGACAGTATTGTCTATTCAGTTTGAAAATTTTAGCATGTTATATATTATTGAATCTAATGTTCTGTTGATATAACATTGAGAAGGGAAAGACAAGAAATAACAGTTGTGACACAGGTTAAATGATATTTACACTTATGAGAAAATAAACAAAACAAATTGAGATTATAAATGTAAGAAGAACAATAACAATAAAGCTTGGTGAAATAAGGATGGAGAAAATGGTTTATTTACTAATGCTAAGAGGGTTAGTTAGTTCGTCCCTGACACTATTTTCATCACATAAAATACGTGCCAAATATGGTATAGTGGAATTTTTATACTTAGACGTGCGTGCATAAAGTCTTTTGAAACGATTTATTGTTTTACCTGAGGAGATACAAGATGAAAGCTGTGGGTAAAGTGGATGCTCACAGTCTGACAAAATCCCTTTAGCGAATATATTGCATGAAGTCAAATGCCTTTCAATGACGATGTCAACGATGTGGTCCAATGGGATACTACTCAACCTACTGACAGGGCGAGTGAACAATAAAGAAGAATAGGTAAGATGCGAGAGTTGAAAAACTGTAAGAGGAGGGGTTGAGTTATGCCTCAGTGCCTTAGCTTCCTAATGTAAAATGTCAGACGGAATATTTTATTAGAAATCGTTAAGATGTGGGAAGACCAGGATAGGTTAGAAGAAGGAATTAATCCAACATATTTAACATCTGACTTGTTTTCTATATCACTATCATCAATTTAGCAACGGTCATAGGAACTAACAGCTTCATTTAACTTTCTTTTACATCGGAAACTGAAATTAACAGTATGATATTCGGAAGGATTCAGTTTAAGACCGTTAGGCGAAGACCATTTGCTGACTCTTAATAGAAAGCTGTTCATCTTAGTACAGTCTAGCTGGGAGTTAACAGACATTGAAGTAGTTAGATCGTCTGCATACTTAACAAACTTCATTTCATCAGAGTGAGGCAAATCATTCAAGAAAAAGAAAACAGAAAAGGAGGAAGAACAGTGCCTTGAGGGACGCCAGCCTCAGTAAGCGATGAAGTGGACAACTTCCCCTGACATTCAGTGTACTGCTTTCTTCCTGAGAAATAAGAATGCAGTCATTTGACAACCCAACACTCAGTATGAATTTCAGCAAGCTTATTTAACAAAACATCCCTAGGTACTGAGTCGAAAGTAGATGTGTAATCTAGGAAGGTGCAGAGAACAAATTTATCCCCCTTATCTAAATTAGAGACAATGCAAGACTGCAGCTGAATCTAAAATACTTCTACTATGTTTGTAGGCGAATTGTTTGGAATCATTAAAGGCTTTAAGTGAAGGTTCAAGATTGAGTAAGAGTAACTTTTCCATAGTTTTTAGAAAAGGGGAGGTTCTAGCAATATGCCTAAATTTGATACATGTTCTAGTAGATGACTTAGGTATGGGTACAATTTTATTGTCCTTCCAAACTGCTGGCACGACATTTCTGGAAAAAATTTTCAATAAATATGTCAGTGAGAGGACAACATAGGATGTCTGCACATTTTTTAAGAATAACGCAAGGCAAACCATCTGATCCTAGGCTACAAGAAGGATTCAGCGACTGGAAACATTTTGGAACAATATTAAATACAGTAAACTTGAATGCAACTTTATAGTAAGCGCAGTGATCTACATTCAGATCACCGAAGAAATCAAATGAGATAAACGTTCAGAAAAGTTCATCGACTCAAGTTGTCGCAGCTCAATAGAACATAAGGATGATACTAACAGGAGCATGTAAGTATTATAAGATTAAATGTGAAAAAAATGTAAGGTCAGAAAAGATAAACAACAAGCGTCCCAAACATATCCACCTTATTTGCATCATTCACTGCTTCTTGAACTATTAGTATTCTCTGATTCTTGCATTATTTTATATTTAAAACCAATAGCACCTATTACTAGTAAATGGTTTGAGTTGCAATATGAATTCTTCTCATCACTTTTCGTTTGGTTCAAAGTTAACCGGTGTCTACATCTGAGGATCTCACTTTCCTTTGTTGATATAGGTCATTTAAAGAAATAATAGAATGAAATGAATGACTTTGTTTCCTCTAAGCCAAGATACACAAGAAATAAGTAGCATTTTTCTAAGTATTATGGCGAGTTCTGAAAAAGAAAACACTAAACTGTACTTGTTAAGTTTCATCTTTTACTTTAGGGAGCAGAATTCAATAATGATAATAATAGCCTAATTCTGGACACTGTATCAGCACACAATACAGAATTCACAAGGTATTTTATTGTAAAATATTTACTATTCAAAACAAGACATACAAGAGAACAGTATTGTTTTCAAATAGATCTTTAGGCTTTACTCTTATGTACACATCTCTCTATACAGAAATGATGAACTTGTGGGTTAGAACATAAGTCCCCGATGTTATAAATATGACATTAATAACAACTTCGTTGTAGACTCATTCACGGACCAATATCAATTAGAGACTGTTGAAAATCAGAGACCACAGTGCACACCAACTGCCCCACCAAGGATCTAATTCAGTGACTTCAGGTTACGAAATCAAGCTCATTGACCATTCAACCCCATGGGCTGGAATTCATTGACCCGTGAATTCTATCTTCTGTCAGTCTGTGATAAAGCTACCCTTAGCCAGTGCCTCGGATTAGTTTCTACTTCAACATGTTATGATGTACCCCACTGGTGGAAATTTCTTGCTACTGCTTTAGAACACCAAAATAGTAGCTATCGATGAGTTGGAAACTGATATTTGAACTATGGGTTTTTTGTAAGGATTTGGATTTTGTTTCATAACTAAATCTATACTAAAATTAATCCCTATCCAAACAAAATTGCATAATCTAAATATTAATGATAACGATTATAATAATGACAACAATAATGATTATAAAGTAAATGTTAAGAAAAGCACAAGCAGTTGACGCAAGTGGCTTTAACAGTAATCAAGACAGACTAATAGTATAAGCAATTCTCTAATTAAATCGGGTCAAAATCTTCTAAGATTAAAAGTTTCGTAATACTGAAGGTGAATTTAAATAATTTGTTTGATTGATTATACTGGACCGAAATGTTCGGTATCTGTTCACATGTCGGCTTCTAGTACAAACTCTTCGACAGTGTCTTAAGGTTAAAATGCTGTTATTTGGTGGAAAGTGATTGGCATTTTGTCCTATTCGGAGCTCGTCAGTTGAGTGTACCTGGACTCTTTATCGAGTACTGGTGTTTTCATTGTGACTGTGAATTCAGCAACCATCGTTTCAGACAGCATAGTGTCATCTGCTGTGTCAATGGACCACAAGAGCCACAACGTTGTGCACCGCTTATCAGTTTTTATTATTTTTTGGAATTATTTTGAATTTCACTTGAAACAATGGCTGCTGGGTCCGACTCTTATTGAGGATAGCATCACCTGACCAAGATGCAGGTACACTGAACTGATGGAACTAAAGTGAGCCGGAACTCTTACTTTGGGTTCCATTGTTGTCAATCAGATGATGTAACTTTTGTCTACTAATTTGTTTCTCGTTGGGTTTTACTTTATGTTGTTTTGTTTTTCAAATAACAGAACACTTTTTCATTTCAGTGTTGTTGTTTTTTTTTATATTTTCAATATACACATAGATGGCCAAAGATTGTCGCAGTGAAAGTGAACCGTCTGATTCATCAGATCCACCAATAAAAGTTGATTAGTTCAATTGACAATTAAATCAACCTGCTACAAATAATACAACAACAATGTCAATCATGCACAAAAACTGAAGAGAAGGAAAATCAAAATCAAAGTCTAATGACAAAATAACCTTGGAGAGAAAAAATCATGCATTAAATATCATGATTACACACCGATTATACAATCAGTTAAATAGAGAAAAAGATTTTGAAGGTAACATTTCTTTCCTTTTTTTGTCCTCTAACTTCCCATGTTTTGTGATATAGTAATGCTTGTGTTTGTCTGTGTGTGTGTGTCTGTGTGAGCTTCCACTAATTGGCTTCTTCACAATGTCACTCTTTATCTCTTGGTTTTCATCTTCAATACCCGTCTCCCTCTTTCCTGCTATCCGAACGGTTATTAAATCATGTAACAGACAGTATCTTTCTCTCTTTATTTGTTCATTAATTCACCATTCTCAATGACGTCTTTCGCAAAGTGAGAAAAACAGACAATGGCAACAACTGACCACAGGATTGTCGTTTGCTGCATCTTATGGACTGTACTTTCCTCTTTATCTATCTCTTTGTATGTATGTTTTAATATCTTCCTTTGTTTACTGCTTGCTATTGTTAATAATTTAAGAAAGTTTAGGTGGTAGTATCGCTTCCAGTGTTTAAAGTATCCTACCTTATATCTTTCCTGGATACTTTTCTTCTTAGAATGGAACAAGCATAAAACGGATAGGTTCATTTTATCATTCCGTCGAATGAAAGTTGCTGCTGGTCTCATTTACAACCAACAAGCTTGACATACTCTACTTTATTAGAGAAACAAAATGTCTAGCAGTTAATTTGAAAAATTAAAAAAAATAAAACTAATAAAGGGAACCGGCTGTATACAATTGAAGTTTCTTTATGAAAAAAAGTACGTAAGTCAGTAAGTAAGTAAGTGAAAGGGTAAGCAGTTGAGAAGAGATACACTGACGAAATAAAATGAACCCATCTGTTTGTTTTATTCCTACTCTATGTATTATTGTTGGTTATTGTGTTCGTTTTTATTTCTTCATATTCGTCCTCTTTCCCTAAAAAAATATGATATAAAAAAACTCTGTATGAATTGTAAAAATAATTTTTTTAATATTTATTTTCGGTTAATTTCCTACATGAACTATCTTTTACTTTCTCCCCATAGCAATTTAGTTTTTTGTAAAATTATACATACATATCTGTGATGTAAATTACACTGTGAGAATTTGTCTAACTTTTGGAATATTGATTATTATTATTATTATTATTGGTAGTAGTGTGAATTTATTGTGAATAAACAAGTGACTACTGTTTGTGAAATGATTGAATTCCCGTTTTCTTCTTTTGAAATAAGAGAAATGCTGCTTTTTTCGTTATCTTTCAATGTATTCAATCCTTGTTGAATAGTTGAATGTGATTTAAACAAAACGGAGGCATATTTAAATCAGGGTGAATTACGCGCGCTCTCTCTCTCTTTCTCTTTTTGTTTACATCAAACCATGTCATAAATTGTAACTTATACTTGTGAAGAAAAAAGGGTGTCATCATCATTATTATTGTCTATAATTAGTCAAAATATAAACAAATTACTTAATAAATGTGTGGATAAATAATTAGTTAAAACAATGCATTAATATTTTATTGACATAATGACCTTGTTGAAGCATCTGTGCTGCGAGTTGACATGTGAAAACCAATCAGTGGGGTGGTATATGAAACAAAGATTTCAACAAATAATAACTGATACCTGTTATACATAAGAGGTGGCATTTGGACCCCAGTGGTTTATTGGATAACACCTTGACGCTTGAAACAATGCGTGCTGGGTTTGAGACTCAGAAGGATAACTATCACTCACTGAAGGAGTGCAGGTAAATCGAACTGACGCATCCCGGATGGGATGAAACGTACGTCGCAGATTCTACTATTATACACCGTCAAACAAAATATAACACCATTTATGAATACTTGTGACATCTTGTTGATTCAATTAGACTGAATTGATCAGTTTCATTTCACATGTAATTTCATTGAATAGATGGTTAGAGCATTTTGTCTGACTCATGTATTTGGATGATTCACAATGTTCCACCTGAGTATGGAGAATATAACATTTCAGAAGCCTAGTGAATAGGTTAGTTTGCTAATTTCTGTTAAAATAACTGTAGCCATCTCAGATGACGAGTCCTCAATAGGACGAGTCACTTTTGGTGGATTACACTAATAATTACTATTAAAAAGTAAAAACCGGCTGAGAAAACAGTTGTCTTTTTCATAAATTTTATTCCAGTATGAAGTGTTTATGTATTTATAAAAGACCATGTCATGCAGACATTCAAGATTATTCTTTATTTTGCTGATCATCCGTGATAGTCATTATTATTCACTGCTTGGGTTTCGAGTGTAATGTAGAGCTTCAGTAGTACATCTTCACTGTACTTGTTTCTCTACCATCAATCTCATCTGGGCACACCACTGCCCATAATCGTTTATTCTCCAATACGTTATTTCCTTAATGTCATACCTGGATGCTGAAATCATCATTTCTCATTCGGGTTCCACTCGAAGGCCTGCCTGGTGTGTGATGTCAGATGAATATCTCCTCAGCGTATGTCTGGTATGTCTGCAGAAGCCGTCACTACATGATAAGATAACAGCACTCAAAATGGAAGGCAAAGGTCTACCTAACTTTAGTCTTAGCACGTCTTTCTTGGAATACTTATCTATATGAATTTATACATATACTGTTAATCCCATCATTTTATTTCAACTACTACTGATACTATAAATTCAAACTGTTGTGTGGGTACTTTGATTAAAACCAGTCAGATACAGGTTCTCATTTGATTTTCTGCTTACATTCATAAAATAAAATATTTACAGTAAAGGGGAATATTAAACTGCATTTTGTATTGTGTGTTCCTTGAGCTCGATTATTTCATAGCACAGCTTTCATTTTTCTTCTAGGGAGCATCATCAGAATCAACCTAAATTTGAAGTAGGTTCTAGGGATTCTGTATGGATGATATGTATATATCTCTGCTGGTGACCTTCACTATGATTAACTGTCCCTGTAAACTTCCTTATAATTGCATTCACTTGTATAGAAAACGATTTTCTTGCTTAACTAATATTTGACCCTTCGTTCGGGTGACCTGTTCTTTATAGAGTGATAAAAATGAGCTATATATATATATATTAATTGCAAATTAATTTGAGTACCAGATCTCTAGGAATTCTGTAGCATTCTTTGTGAAGAAGCCAAGATGTTTAGTGACGACAACTATTCCAAGAAGTCACAGTATTGTAGGACGTCTTCAATATCGTTTCACGGAATGATTTTGAGTTGATCGATTGTCAGCATCAACCGATAACTATACATGGATATCCGTTTTTCTGGAAGACGACAATAAGATGTTTCCCTCTTATTCTCCTCAAGACAGGAATGTTGCAACCTATCCTGGCTCTTCTGAATAATGTTAGCGCATAACTTATTTTTATATGCTGTTACAAAAAAATAAGTATCTGACTCGTGTATGGACTGATTTTCAGCATACTTGTGTTTCTAAGTGATCTGTAGGTGACTACCTAAACGAAACATCCGAAAACGGCATTTCGTCCTCTGATTACTCTTCGCTGGTTAGTTTAATGCTGTCAAAAGCGTTGTTATTTAGTTCATAAACATCCAAGCCATTCTTGTTATTTATTATTATTCCCAAAGGTTCAAAGTGGAACATAGGGCTTCAACTGTATATTTCCATTTCATCCCATTCTGTGCCGTTAAATTTATCCTGCTCTACTACTGTCTGTAAGATCATATCTCCTCTTCACGTGATCTCCTCCTTGCTACCCTCAGACTCACACTTCACTCGTCGTCTCCCATTCAGGTTCCACTCAGGGGTCTGTCTAGCACGTGATGTCACTCAATGGCCTCCTCAGCATGTATGTGATCCATCTCCATTTCTTCCGGCGTATTTGTTGGTCTATGGGTTCTTGGTTGGTTTGTTCCCGCAGTTTCTTGTTACCAGTTCATTTTGGACATCTGGTTTCTTTCGTATGGAGCGAAGGCAGCTGTTGATGGAAGAGTGCAGGAGTCTTCTGGAAATACATTTGTTGACATACCAAAAAAAGAGCTTGCTTGAAATAAGTATTAAAAATTCGAATCTTGCTCTTTGTGCACAGTGCACCAAATTCAAATATTGACTTTGACGTCTTTTTAGCTGTGCCTCTTATTGTCGGAGGAAGATGCTGCCCAAATAATAAGTGAATTTACAGGAACAATTTCAGCGCTGAGTCAGACTGGATCATTATAAAATTAATTAAAATAATTCCAGCGTGTTCAGAGAGTCAAAATAAAAATTCTCTGTTTTGATTTTCTTAATACCTCGTTAATTAGATTGTAAATGTTTTCTAAAACATCCCTTCTGTTCACATCAAGTATTCAGTAGTTTCATAATATTACCCATATCACACTCGACTTTCTGTTGAAGCTTTTACATTAGTGAATCTTTAAATAACATCAAGCAAGAGTATTTGAGTTCTGCTTAATTTGATTATAAGTTGCACCATAATGTATTGACATTTTTAGTCTAAATTAATTGACCACATTTTGGAATATGGGTTCACTAAATAGATGTCTCTATGTCAGCATCCGTTTTTTTTACTTGAAGTTGTCACTTTGTTTTGTTAAAATGTATTAGAGTCTAAAATGCGCCTTTTATCCTATTTGAGACTCATCAGCTGGATGCACCATTATCTCACCGTTAACATCATCACATACTGTGATGACTGCATAGACATCCAGAGAACGAGTCTCAGTTGTGACGAAACACTCATCGTGAATTTTTCACTACAAGCTACCGAAAAACTTATGGCTAATTAGTATTACCAGTTTCAATATATATACACATTCCTTTTTTTTAAAAAAAAGCTTTAAATAATTATGTAAAGATAGAGCATCGTCGTTCTTTGTTCATTCGAATGTATCATATGAATCTTTTTCTTTCTTTTTGTTAATTAACTAACAATAATGTTTAATTTGAGTTAGTTGGCATTCAATAAATTTAAACCGTATATATATATGTATATTAGTGATTATCATTTGAATGAATATCATATGAGTTTTATTATCGATTAGCCACCAGTTAGCACAGATGATCAAAGGTCATATGGTTACAGCACGTTATGATAAAACGGAAAGAAAAAAATGTTATTTTATATCTATCTAATTGTATATCTATCTATCTATCTACCAAGCTTTAACATACATATATATATGTGGTTGTTTGTGTGAGCTCAAATTTAAGACTGAGTCAATAGTCTAAAAATTAGGAGTTTTAAATACGTTTTAGACAGAAGAATAATACTTGTGAATTTCAGAAGACTGAATATAGTGAATATAGTACTCTTTTCGATAACTTTCTTATCAGGTTATACAGTTATTTGTCCAAAATAAATTAAGAATTCAAGTATTGGTTTGTAGGGATTCGGTTGATTGGTTACAGGATTTCATCATGAGCTGACATTAGTTAGAGAACCATTGGAAAAAAACGGGGAGTACTGGACAGCTGTTTCGTCAGTCTAGTTTGGGACTCTTCATCAGTACGCACCTGCTGGGGTTCGAACACAGGATCTTCTGGTTACAAGGCCAGGTCGTAGACC